GGGGGGTTCAAGAACTGTCATTGGTTAGATCACAAAAGCACAATTCTTAAGAAGTTCTTTTCCATACAACTAGTTTATGACCATGTGTGTCAAGCTCCAAAAAGGAAACTAATGTGCAGGTTTCAGCCTGTTCATCACGCAAAGCTATTATAAGGCTTCAGAACACTTAATGCATCTTTACACAGCTTAGTTAAAGGGATAGTACACCCAAAAATGAAAATTCTCATTTACATCATTTACTTACCCTCAAGTTGTTCCATACCTGTATGAGTTTCTTTCTTCTGTTGAACACTAAAGAAGATAATTTGAAGAATGTTGGTAATCAAACAGTTGTTGGTAGCCATTGACTTTCATAGTATAGAAAAGAAAACTATGGTAGTCAATGGCTACCGTCGACTGTTTGGTTACCAACATTCTCCAAAATATCTTCTATTCCTGCTCTGACACACCTCAGCCCATAGTATAACAGTACGTCATTAACAATGCTGTGTAAATGCATTTATGCCACCTCTGAGCAGCATTAAACTGTGTAAGGACACCTAAATGCTTCTTCATGTGCGTCTATGCCACTTTTGCAGTGTAAATTTGGTATTAGAATACAATGATAAAGTCACAGGAATTACTTTAATGGCACTTTTTTAACTTGGCATTGTATGGAAAAGAATTCTTCAACATTCGAAATCATTTAAATAATGACAGAATTGTCACTTTAATACTTATTCTCAAGTGTTCTTAATATGTGCTTTTTCTACTTTTCCTCAGATCACAGGAATGCGCTGTTGCCCCGGACAAAAGGCAAACAAACAAATTTCTAAATGTTAACGTCAAGATCACCGCCGGATAGAATATATGATAAAGATTAGAATTTGGTCATCCATGATGGTAGGGTTTTACTGGGGTGAAACTGAATGTCCTTCCACATGATGTGTAGAATTTGAGTGAACTACATCATTATGTCAGACAGGATGGCATTTTTACTCTCAAGCTGGATTAGTAGAAACATTTTCATTTTCATGTCTGACTTAACACCGTTTTGGCATGATAGTAGACCAAGAGATATTTTTTTGTGATTCACACCTTGATTTTCTTTCCTCTAAATTTATCTGAAAGTTTACAAAAGTTACAAAAGATGCACCTTGAATTGAAAAGCGAATCGAAAGCCGATATGGCACAAAACATCCAGCAAAATAATTCAATGTATGTAGTTTTCTCTATCTTTAGTTCTGGCTTCTAGTCAAACTAGATTGTAAGCGCAGAGTCGAGATTGACCGATGAATGTTTTGGGTAGAAATTGATCACCTGAGACCTTTCAGAAGCACATTCTTGCAAGCTTTATGTACCATAACCACCGGCTGAATACCAGACACCGATCTAGAGTGTTATATCAACAGTGTTATTATGTTTACCAGAGATTAATGTTTTTTACAGCGCTTGATTTTATACATAATTTCACAAGTGTGTGGCTTTTTTATGAAACGTGCCATTTTTATTTGTCGATCATCCCATTAGGCCTTGTAGAACTATGAAGCCTTTTTGACTCCTATGAGAACAGGGTTGCCTTGTTCCTAATGCCCTGTTTCTTTATTGCCTTGATCGAGAGAATATTGCGTTAGAGCGGAGAGGGTAATCGAGAGTCACGCGTGTCGTTAGGAGAACGTCACGGTAGTGTTGATTCAGCAGTCGCGCGCGGAAACGAGCGATTGCGTTCCAGTCTTCACCGTAACGGTGTGAGGACTCTAAAATTATGCTGGAAAAGCACTGCTTGAGTATTTCGTTACAGATTGTGAGTTCGAGACTCGGTACACAGAAAGATGAGGTTAGTGTTGGGTCAGGGGTTGTCTTCAGTTCTCATCTGTGTTGATTTTGAGTTCTTTTCGAATATTTCATGACCGCTGGATGATGTAAAAGAGGAACGGAGAATATAATGAGACGTTTTTAACATTAAGTTGTGCCAAAGTCTTTTTATTATTATTTGTATTATTTAAATGTGTTTTGACTGGGTATACTGATCACGGAAGGTGAATAATTTGTACAAGGCTGCTTGTAAATCAGGAAACAGACGCAAGGGTTTTAGTGTCACAACCAGACTCGAGATGAAACGAATGAATCCGAGTTTCTCGGCTCAAGTTCACTTGAGTCTGGATTTCAGCCTGGTTTAGGTGCACAGACTTGAAAGGATGCACGCCATTGCCGTTTCCTCACTAAAGCCTTATATATCAGTGTTTGAACCCACACAAACATTCTTTCAATCACAAATGGTAAATTACAGCGGATGAGATTTTATTCTTTACACTTATTTTATGTGTATATTAATCATGTTACTCTTAACGTTCACTCTGTTTCAAAGCCTTTGTTAGAAATGTGTTGTTTGCATATAAAGATTTTTTTTTTTTGTATTTGACTATTGTCATAGAACTGTTTTAGAATGTAGGAAATGAATTATTGTTTTTCTTACTGTCACTTTCTTTTACATCATGTTAAGTTCATAATGTTTATCTAGTAGTGTTGTATTCTTAATTCTTCATGTTAGTTTTCATGGTAGAATGTTTGAATTTCAAGGATTTTGGTTTTGAATTTGTTGAACAAAATGTTTTATCTTGTCTTAAAAAAAGAGTGGAAACGACAGAAAGAGAGTTTATTTGTAGCTATGGTAAGGTTGATATTTTAACCCTTTATTTTGTGTCAAATCAAGACCACGTCTACAATTAGCTGGTTAAAGTATCAATTGTACATGCTAGAGAAAAAGAAGTTATTTTCTACTGTATGCATTTCAGAATTGAAAATCGTCTTGTAATATTTCAACAACAACAAAAAAAATCCCTCTATGTCAGGCCAAAATGAGCAGCAACTTGTCTCCCAAGATTTCTGAATATTTAAAGATGTAAAACAAAGGAGGGAGGTCACAGGGTCGGGCCTCGAGCTGCGAACGAGAGAGAGCCATAACTTAAGGGACGAAGGTTGACTTTTTGCACTTCTGTACATAGTCAATATAAAGAAAAGAAAAGGAACATGTATAATATTGAGATCTTATTTTGAATAATAAAAGATTCTATAACTATGAGAAATTTTCTTAGGATAATTTAAGAATTAGAGTAATAGTCCAGCTAACAAATGATGCTTGCAGAAATATGGCACAGCTCTTTTATTATCATTTCCGGCCATCACGTTAAAAAAAAACAAAAACATAAAGCTCCGCATTGCCTGCATACAGTACCGACACATACCGAGAGTCTCAAAAATTGGCAGTACACTCCGCCTCGTCATGATTTCCACTGTGGGGAATTCGGTTTTGTTTACAAATAGATACTACACCTTCAAAAACACAGTATTTGTCATATGATGGACATAAATAACTGCATGAAGAATAAAAATGAACAGAGTCAAATTCTCATAATAGATAAGTACGTAGATAAGTTAATTTCTCACAGTACCGTAACTATCATTGTTACAGCATAGTGTAAATCAAGTGTCTCGATCGATATCTGAGCTTGAACTGAGGCACATTCATCGATAATCCATCTTGAGTATAACCGTAAGAACAGTACAATTATTAAAAAGGCCTTCAAACCGACTCTAGATGCTAGCAAAAGATGTCCACTTAACACACGACAACAGAAGAGTTGCTTTGTTGCTTGGTAATGTGCCTTCAGCAGGGAAAGGACACCAACCACACACAACAAAAAAACAAAAACAAAATGAATGTAACTGTCAAATCCTCCGCTGAGGTCAGCGTTTTACTCATTTGAGATTGCTGCACAAGAGCTATTAAACCAAAGCGTCACTTTCTTTCACTAAACGCAATGCCTAAAAGCTGGTCAGCCGTTGCAGACGGCGAAACCACAGGTGGTCCTGCCTGCTGAAAGCACTTGCTTGGATGCTTAACGCCCTCCATGGAATCTTACACCTGCCCTTTGCTTATAGTTGCTGTAAGATATTGTGCTGCATTCTAAAAGACTTGTTTTATGCACATTTATTATTGTTAGAATTGACTCTTACTGTTACGAGTAAAAAAAACTTAATAAAACAAAATGGATTTGCTCAAAAGGTGTCTGTGTGGTGTAATTTGAAGTCAAACTATTTTGTGAGCGTAGTCAAGAATGAAATAGTTGTTTTTACGAAGTTCTAATTTCCTAAACATTCATGATATGCTGATGGCTCCATGGGAGCACACTCAATCCAAAGCCATTTCACACTTTGAGGAGCCCTTAAAAAGGTCACTGGCAAAGTATCTTGTATATTAAAAGTGAAACATTCATGATCTATATGTTGCTTGCAAACATGCAGTCAGACTACTGAGATATTTTTGATTGAATGACTATCAATGGAGAAAGATGCTCTTTGCTGTCAGTTCAGGTATCTACCAGCAGAAGTCATGATAACATAATACGCTTGGGCTGTGACGGGTATGATGACTCCTCTGTTTTTAAAGCACATTTGCTGTTGAAATGTCCACTTGATATCAGTCTAGCCCTTACGAGCATAAAGAAGATGCACACAATTTTCAGTTGTATTTATTATTTATTTATTATTTGTTTACTATTATTTTTTAATGGCATAAACACTGTCTATTGTTAACAGGACACCATAATCCAAAACATGTTTTTTTTTTCACATGGTTTCTCCCCCGATTAAAACACTGAATATATGAATTCAGACATTAAGATCCATGTTGCAAAACAGGCCACCCCATCCCTCCTTACAAATGCACTGCCAGGGATGTTTGCAGGTGCCGTGTAGGCACCCTGGGTAAAGTAAGCACTCATCACAGCGGCGGCCCTGCCACCCGATGAAGCACTTGCACTGACCGGGGGCCTCACAATAACCATGTTCCTCACTACATCCAGATAAGCAGATAGCTGTTAAAAATGAGAGGGAGAGAAATCAGGAAAATAGAAATAATTTGCATCATATTCAAAAATACAAAAAGATACAAAAAAAAAAAATATATATATATTTATATTTCTGTCAGGACCACTATCGTCAAAGATGATTGACAATTAGCATACAGTTTGGATTGGCGGTATGGTTCTGTTCTGGGCAAGAACTCCCTGCGCATCCATGCAGCCTAGCATGGATGAGAGCAGTGATAACCCCCCAGGGTAAACAGAACAGAACCAACATAAATGTATTGCAGATATCGTTAAAGTTCAATAATGTTATGTACACATTTTAGAATTAGTCTGATTCAAAGGAGAATCAGAAGGCTGAATCCCGACTGACAGAGGAGGAGATGGGGATGGAGGAGGGTAATTAGCTATTGAGCAATGCGAAAACTGCTGATAATATTGAGGGATCTTATATATGAATGCTTAGATAGGTGTCGTATTCCCATAGGTTGATGGGGATCAGCTGAGAGTCAGCTGATGCGAGCTTGACTAATGTGACCTGCCAGAACTAACGCTACGCTAGATATATATAAAAGTGCTTAAAAGTGCATTTTAAAAAAGTGCTTACGCTCTGCACAGTATTCGCCTTTCCATCCAGGCAAGCAAACTCTGTTGCCAGCGTCGTCACAGGTAAAGTGACCGAACGGGTCATCCCGTGAATGGCAGAAATCAGAGCAGTCATCGCCATAGTAGAATTCATTGCACACTGTGCGGTAGGAAAAGCGTAGCTCCCTTTGCTCTCCGAAATGCACATCCTGGGACCATTTCTGACCAATAGTAAGATTTATTTTGGTGGCGAAGTGGCCAATCATATTGTTCATATTCTCTGCAAATAAATCATAATGAATAAATACATTTTAAAAATCGGTATTTAAATAAAACGCAAAAATAGGAGGCATACCTGTTGGCTGATCATTGGAGGACTCTGCATTCCATGCTTCAATTATCACTGAGATTGTTTCCTGTAATGACAGTGAGTGGTGAAACTATGATGTCGAAAACCTGGAAGCGAGTTAGCATTTTAGCACTTCCGGTTCCATAGTCCCAGAGTCAATGTTTTTTTTTGAATGGGAGTTTGGTTAAATCCCCTAAAATAAGGTTCGCGGTTCACACAAGCTCAAGATACTTTCACGTTTCATTCTACGACATAAAAAGTTACACTTTGGAAGCGAGTTAGCATTTTAGCACTTCCGGTCCCATCGTCCTAGAGTCAATGGGTTTTTTTAATGGGATTTTGGTTAAATCCCTTAAATAAGGTCCGTGGTTCACACACGCTCAAGATATTTTCACGTTTTATTCTATGACATAAAACACACCAGTTACACCCTACTCGTGATTTTTTTTAAAGATGTTATGTTTCTTAAAAAAGACGGTTGCTAACAAGTTGCTAAATGGGACTACAGGCGCTGTCGGAGACTTTAAAGGGGTCATCGGATGCCCATTTTCCACAAGTTGATATGATTCTTTAGGGTCATAATGAAAAGTCTATAACATACTTTGGTTAAAATTTCTCAATGTAACACACTTTTTACCCTGTCAAAACCAGCTCTGTTTTCAGCACGCCATTCTAGTCCGTGTTGCTTTAAATGCTAATGAGCTCTGCTGACACCGCCCCTCTCTTCCGTGGGGTGACAAGCAGACTGTAAACTTCAGCCGCGAAACTTGCTAACTAGCACATATTAGGAAAGGCGATTTGCAAAGATTCATAGAAAAACCCTTATACTCACTTCTTCTGTAAATGAAGCTGGATCATGAATGATTCGTGCAAACTTAAACAGATTTAGTCAAAATCAAAACGAAAGTAACGTAACCTATGCGTCTTCAGCGGCTCAGATGTCGGGAGTAAATGACGACTGCTATGTTCATTATTACATCCAGCAACAAAACACCTCAATCGCTTAATCGGAGACATTCTTGTCTTCCCCTGCACCGGAGTCGACACAATGGCGGACAGCTCTCAGCTCACTCAGGGCGGGTCTTAAGGTAAGACGGACTTGTCAATCAACTATCGTTGGAGGGGCCTGTGCAGAACTATGTCATTCTGACAGGAATCTCACGACAGCCTGATTTGAGAAAGGGGATTTTAAAATAGGGATTTAAAAAAAAAACACTGGGTGGATTTTTATTATTATACGATGGATGTGTACACACACTTCAAACAACAACAACAACAAAAGTTAATTTTGCATCCAATGACCCTTTTAAACATCATCACGCCGAACAGGAACTCATACTAACCCGCTTTTACAGCCTCGTGTTCTTGTAGTTTTTGGATTAGTTTGTTTATCAATTCATAGTGTTTTTTCGATTGTAGTGTTTTCTCATGTGTAGTTCAATCAATTGTAGAATAACCAATTAATAGTAATTAATAATACATAATGCCTTCATCACCTGTAGAGACCTGTGTCATGGCAAGATTCATGTTAATTGTTGACAGAATATAATTTATTTTAATAAAACTATTTTATGAGAATGTGTCAGTTTTTTACTTATGTATTTTTAACATTTATTTTTTAACATTTGAAGATACTGCTTGCTATAGTGCCTTTATTTCGCTCTGGTCAGCTCCCAGTTAAAAAATAGAAAACAAAATAAAATTAAATTAAAAAAAACAGGAGAAAATATATAAAGAAAACAAACTTGAAAAAATCGTTACTGTTGGGAAAATAACTTTGCTGATGCTATTGGCCTTAACTGGATCATTTCATTTCTTTTATTGTTATTATTGTATTAACATATAATTATAAGTGATTAACAGTTTTTTTATATTCAGTTGAACACATTCAACACGTATAACTAATTATTATAATTTATTCCTCCCTCCCTGACTTTACTGACACTTCATCGACTTTGTCCCTCATGCTAGCCCTGACAACTCCGCTAAGTAGACCAGCATGTAGGCTGCAACACTCTACAAGCCCAGACTTATAATGATTCTCGCCCCTCTCTATGCTCTTTTTATCATCTGTGAAAAAGGGACATGAGGCTGGAAATTGACAGATAGCTAGGTTTCAAAGAAGTTTAGCTTCAGAGAAGGTAAGTGCGGTAAGCAGGGATATGCATGCGGGCCATACAATCATTAAAATATGCATTATGATAATAACCTGAAGGCACAATTATAAAACATGTATTTTTAAACGTTCATAACAACTGTAAAGCAAAATAACAATTATTTATTACACAAAGGAAAACTATCTAAAAGAGCACGTATAAACATGTTTTTGTTTTTTAATATAATGTAATGTGGATTAAAATTCATTCACAGAGTAAATAATTATCATGGAAAATGTTTCTAAAAATAAGTTTAAAAGTTGTGGGAAGCATGGTGGTGGTGACGTTGAAGACGAGCAACCATGTGCTGTAGTTCTTTATAGCCTAATGTTAGCTTTTTAGTTCTGGTGCTTGTATTTAGGCTTCAAAATTCATAAAAGTTATATTATTTTGTGAATATTATCTCGATGGACAAAACGTGTAAAATTCATTAGCTATGGTTGAACACAGAGCTTATTTTTTGCGATAATCCAAAAGCCTATGGAAAATCCTTTTTGTCAAGGGAACCAGTGTGATGCTAACAGCCGATCTGCCTACAAAGTGACGCCATAGTTCGGCAACTCTATTTGAAAGATGAATTAGACACGCCCACCAAAGATGCGTGCAACGCTTGGGTGACCCTCATAATCTGAGGTGAATCACGGGAGCATAAGTGCCTCATTTTAGTGTCACAGGTAAGAATAACGTTTTGCACCGTTTTTGTCGGGGCTGAACGCAGCCCTGATTTCTCTCAACATGGCAACACCAGAGCTGCCAATCAATACATGGAAACAAAGTAACTGGAGTTACTTATTTGAAAAAGTAACTCAGATATTTCCTTCTAAATGAAAAAGTAATGCATTACTTTACTAGTTACTTAAAAAAAGTAATCTGATTACGTAACTCACGTTACTTGCAATGCATTACCCCTAACACTGAGAATAACTAACTTCACTTTAGTAGCGTTACGTATGACACCGCCGGGCTTCAATGCATGTGTCAAGAACACAGCACAATTTTTACTAAAGTTCCAAATACTTCAGAGAATCACGTGATTAGAGACAAACGAAGCTTGGCTTTCTGTCCAGTATATCACTTGCACGCTTCGTTTGGCTTGTAGTAATGTAGGTTATAAATCCAGAGATAACTTTCTTTACCTTTCTCTTATTTCTTTTTGGTCTTTTTGTGTCTTGATATTGGGGCTGCAACAACTAATCGAGAAAATCGATTATTATCGATAATGAAAATCATCGACAACGATTCTCATTATCGATTAGTCGGGTCTGCCCTCAGTGCACGTCCAATTCAGCCAGTCGCATCAAATTACAGCACTGAATAACGCATTTCAATGGACAAAATGCATCTAAAAACAGTGGAGGAAACAGAACGAGCTCCTGCAGGAAAAGTACGTGATCCAAGCTGCCCAAAACATGAAATCTTTATTTTAAGGTTCAAGCTGATGCATTAGCGTAATGGCTTGCCCTGTCAGGCGCTTTGACAGATACGTGTGTGCGCAAAAAACTTTCAGTTAAAGGTCATATCCTTATCTGTAAATGTCACAAATTCACGCGAGCCTTTCCATTTTTGCATAAAGGCCCGCCCTGACAGTCTGCGTTACGTTGAAATCTTCACTGAAAGAGCGCCGGCGTGGCGGGCACGTGGCTTAATGGGGTCATATGACGTTGCTAAAAAGAACATTATTTGTACAACATATTATTTGGTGTAATGCAATGTGTTTATGCGGTTTAAGGTTCAAAAAACACATTATTTTCCACATAATGTACATTATTGTTGCTCCTCTATGCCCCGCCTTTCTGAAACGCGTCGATTTTTAAAAAGCTCATCGGTCTGAAAAGCAAGGTGTACACTGATTGGCCAGCTATCCAGTGCGTTGTGATTGGTTGAATACCTCAAGCGTGTGACGGAAATGTTACGCCCCTCACCATATTGTGATGCCGAGTCCCGGCACGACGAGACAAAACCAATTAAAACCCATTATATCTATGCACGAACAGCTTGTAACACTCCAAAGAGAAAGGAAAATTTGAAATTGCATCATATGACCCCTTTAAACAGACGGAACACAGTAGAGAGGGAGACAATATTCAGCACCAAAACATTCACTGTGCTGAAATATCTGTTGTTGAACATTAAATTTAGGTTTGAAAGTCAACATGCAGTGCAAGTAATTTATGAGAGTAGAAACTGTGAAGGGACAGCAGCATGTAATTGTCTGAATATAAATGTCAGACGCTTTTACAGGATGAATAAATGACAGTAAGAGGAGACTGACTGTGATCAAAGTGCATGCGACGCGTGTTCCTGCAGAACATTACTGTGATTTTATTCGTCTTTATTATCTTTATTATTTTAATTTTTGATCTAGAGATTTAAATTATATTCATTATATAACCTACAGTGATTGTAAGGTTTGTGCCACTGCTGCTCTTAACTAACAGTATTGGTATAATTACCAAAATCATTTTTTAGCTTTCTGTATTGGTTAGTCCTCCAATATGCGTAAGCTCTTCAGTAACAGTAGTAGGCTATTTCTAATGCTATAAAATAATTATTGCTGTTAGCTATGAAAGAAAGGCAGAAAAAAATAGTTAAGTGCTTTATAGTGTTTTTTTATTCAGATACCCAATTAGTCAAAAAGTACATAAACAATGCCAGCAAGCTTGCAAGCTGTTCTCAACGGCAAAGGAGGCCATTTTTGTTATTATGTGAATAAATACTATTTAGTTGTTTCGGTTTGTTATTTGCCCAATAAATGACAATAACATTTTTAGATTTAAACCATTTTTTGACAGATTCCTAAAATATTTGGGTTTTCTATATTATGACAGGTGGTCTAATAAATTGTTAAGCACTGTATGTTTTCATAGCATTCAGTTGGCACATTTGTTTGAAGGTTGATCAGCTTTTTTCGAAGGCTTTATTTTGTATAGGGGTGCAGTGTAACGTGTTCATGCTTCGTTTAAAAAAAACACATTATTTTCACATATTTTACCTTTATTCTACACCGCTGTGTCCATGCTCGTCAAATGGTCTGTTGAGTTCCTGGTTCTGTGAAGCCCCTCCCTCAGAAATACGCAATGGGCTAAGATTGGTTAGCTAGCCCAGTGTGTAGTGATTCACTAACTACCTCCTAGTGCATGTTGTCCGGAAACATCACGCCCCCTTACCATTACAGGTAGTTGCATGTTCCCGGGGGCAGGGTTTATGTAAGCATCGGGGTTAGTGATGTCACAAACCCAGGAAGAAGCTCATTGTAGTCCCTACCAGCCTTTTTTTGTAGTCATATCTCCCTTTGCATTGAACTTTGAGCATCATAACTTTGCAGACATTTTTTATGCTTTAACAGCAACATTACACACTAACTAACGTTAAAAAAAGTGAAATCATAATCAAGCACCCCTTTAATGTTCACTCTTGAGCTACTCACCAGCCTCTTTAAGTTAAAGGGCACAGTTATTGGTGCACTAGTGGAGATGGAGCTCTGGTTTGTGCTCAGTGTTCCTGTAAGTCCAGTGCCATTAGAACATGCCAGTCTATATGATATGACGTCCTGCGTGTAGTTCAGGCAAACACGGAAATATACCTGACCGTCTCTGGACTGTTTACACACACTGCTGGTGGTGGTTGTGAAAGAGTGCACTTTCAACTCAAACACACCAGAGGATTTGACCTACAAAAATAATAAGATGATGTGTATCAGCGCACTTCACATATAGCGGTTACAGCACTTATTAAAGAAAGAGATTATACACATTCAAATAATTATGAAATCAAATACTCACCAGTTGCACTGATATCAAAACTAAGAAGCATGTTGATAAAAGCTGAGCCATTTTGTATCTTATTGTCTGCTGTTGGCTGAAAGCAGACTGTGATTCTAATATGAAACTTTTTAGATTACAATAAAAAAAACGTAAAAAAATATAGAAATTAAAATGTAAACTGAGTGGAATATTAAATGTATTAATATTGGCTTGGCTGGAGCTCACAAAGTAAAGAACCAATTTCTAGCTCCAGAATGTAGAGCGCTTGGGACCTCAGAGTGGGAGTAGTGTGCTATGTAGTGTGCATTATTTTTCACATAATTTACCTTTATTTCACACCGCTCTGTCCCTTCTCTGAGAAACGGGCTGATCTTTTGTTGCTTTTATGAAGCCCCGCCCTCAGAAATAGGCGATGGGCTCTGATTGGTTAGCTAGCCCAGTGTGTTGTGATTGGCTAACCCGCCTCTAGTGCGCTCTAAACATCCCGCCCCTCATCTCAGCGGCATGTGCTCCGGTTGTATTGTAAACAACGACGTCGTTAATATCGCTTATCAGTTTGAGCTCGATTGAGAAGCAGAGGATATTATTGAAGAGGATCATGCAGAACCTGTGCAAGCATGGCTTTTAATGGTAGGCCTATGTTTTTGTTTGTTGTTGTCTCATACTTTGATGTGCTGTTATTTGTAAATGTTACTGCTTATGTTAGCTATTAATACACGGTTTTATCCTGATTAAAGCTTTAATACAGTACAACTGCACGCGCGTCCATGTTTAATGCTTCTCATAGCTATCTTTTCCCGAGGTCGGGGTTTATCTGGGTTTGTTACGTCACGAACCCGGGAAGTAACTTGTTGTAGTCCCTACCAGCCGTTTTTGTAGGCATTAAACTGCCAGAATTTTAAAAGACGATATCTCTGTTTGCATTGAACTTTCAGCTTCGTAACTTTTCAGATATTGTTTATGCTCAAACAGCAACATTACACACTAACTAACATTAAAAAGTGAAATCGCAATCAACCACCCCTTTGTATGTGCGTATACATTGCATTAGGTGTATAACATTGCCTTTTAGAAATGTTTGATTTTTCTGCGAAGGTCTGGTAACACTAATCACAGCCTAAATGTATCAGTATTTTTAATGTTTTTTCACAGTAAAACGGTGGTTATGATGTGGTTTTATTTGATGAATGAAATTTGTTTTAAAAAGCTTTAAAATATATATATGTTGAAAACCCAGAACAACTGCTAACTATTGCTATGACAGTTAAAATGAATACAGTTCAAACTGGAGACACCTGCCATCATCTTTCAGATTAAGGGTATTTTTTCTTCTTATGTTGAATCATGCTGAAGTCGTTTACTTTGATGATAAAAAAAACAAAACAATGTTTGGATAGTCACATATATTTATATTTTACACTACAGGTAATGATAAAAAGCAGATCCATATATCAAAAGAACAGAATGATATATATACTGTAATATCTTAAAAATATTTGAGCAAGCAAAAATTGAATTGCATAAAGGGAACTGAAATTATTTGTTGTTATTGTGAATATTGTTCTCAGATTATTGTGTCTCTCTTGGATTCTCTCCTGGAACTTTCTCTGTGTCTACTTCAGAGTTTTCTGTATGAAAATCAAATAACTGTTCTCCGACATATGGATGTACATAATGAGTGTATACAATCCAATAAGTTATTCATTTTAAAACTATACAATCAAAAAGAGAAGACCAACAAGTTTGGAAAGATAATGTTACTTGTATGATCTTAACAGGGTCTAAATTTTATTAGGCCATGTGAAACATCAACATTTCTAAACCTAAATAAAAAAGGTTGTCAGTGTAGTTCTCAAATAAAGAATATTTATCAATGATTAACATTAACCTCATTTGTTAACCACATTTGTGCATGGCTGCAGGCTTATTTCATGTAAACAGGATTAGATTGCCTCTTTTTAAGTGGAATTGATATTTAAAATCTGTCCCAGCCACTGCTACTTTATTACAAGAGTACCCTACTAATCCGGGGACAATAATTTGAAAATAATATTATAATGTTGTGTAATCTATAATACTATAGACACAGCCACTTTATAATTGTACTACAGTTTTTATGGGAATGGCTTAATGGAGCGCAGGAGATGCAGATAACTTGATCTTGACCCTTAAGAAACTGCGTCACGCGGCTGACACATAATAGCATACGCTGTTTACGTTCAGTGGATACTCTCCAAAATGGCACCAGGGTGATGCGGCGGAGACGAATTGTTGAATAGTCATTATTTTTGTTTTCTTTGCGTACAAAAAGTATTCTCGTTGCTTCATAAAAAAATTACGGTTGAACCCCTGATGTCACATGGATTATTTTACCGATCTCCTAGCTACGTTTCTGGACCTTGATCGTGGTAATTACATTGCTGTCTATGGGAGGGTCAGAGAGCTCTCAGAATTCATCAAAAATATCTTAATTTGTGTTCTGAAGATGAACGGAGGTCTTACGACTCGAGTTTAGAACGACATGAGGGTGAGTAATTTAATATCACCCTAACTGTATGTATACTACGGAGCCCCTAAAGCAGGGATCCTCAAATCTGGCCCACGAGATCCACTTTCCTGCAGAGTTTACCTCTAGCCTTAATCAAACACACCTGAGCTTGCTAATCAATGTCTTCAGGATCATTAGAAAATCATAGGTAGGGGAGTTTGATCAGGGTTGGAGCTAAATTCTGCAGCGCATCGGCCCTCCAGGGCAAGATTTGAGGAACCCTGCCCTAAAGGAGCATGTTGGTGGGAGGAAAAAATATTATTATATAATATTGCATTATAATTATATAATATATTATAATATTGCATTCTCTCTCTCATTCTCGCAGGTTGCCCCGCCCTAATTGAACGTGTCTGTACGTGCCCCGTGGTTGCCAGGTGTTTAAGAGACGGTTGCCGTGATTTTGCCAAGTAAGACATGTTCCTGGATCAACATCTTTTGTTGATCCTGGATCAACATAACTGTCCAAAAATGTAGACTAAACCCAATCCCTACCCCTAAACCTAACCTTACCCATAATTTATTCCTAAAAACAGTGTAAACTGATAGCTGATTAACAAGGGTGTAGAAGCACCTAACCCTGATTGTAAGCCTAAAACAGATATTTACTGAAAAGTTACCCCTCAATTCTGATTGGTTGATAGGAATGTTGTTCCAGGATCAACAAGGATATTGATCCAGAAACATGTTGTACTTGGTGAAATCACGGTCACCTTTAAGAGATGTGTGCAAAACAAGCGTGACTGGTGTGACTCACCAGTATTTAACTGTCGATAATAAAAAACATTCACTAGGTGTCAGTGTGAAATGTTTGAAGAGAATCCAGCATTTATATTTGTCCTCATCTTAAATCACACCTTACGGGTCTTCGCAGTCTCTTTCAGCTCCTGAGGGTCTTTCTTTCTCTCCTGGATTCTGTGTAGAAAATTACATCCTGTTTGCATAACATGAAAGCTAAGACTTTGTTTATTCAGACATAACATGGAACACAAAAGGCTCATTGCCACTTCAGACTCAAAGTAATGCATCCAATACATGTTTCTTTCTCTTCTTCTTTATACATATATATATATATA